CACACACACACACACACACACACACACACACACACACACGGCCCCCGACCCCCGACCTGTGAGGCTTCGGTTTCATTAGCCAACTTGGTCTTTGACTGATGGTTGTCGGAATGCCCTCCGTTCATCTGCCACGTTGTTTTTCTTTTCTTTCTCCCAGAATCATCCAGAACCGCATCCTGCTCGTCCTCCTGGGAATCATCGTGGTCGTCACCATCCTGACGGCGGTCACTTTTTTTGTCCGAGGACACTGATGTATCAGCTCTCCCTTGATAGACAGCAACCGAGGCTTGTTCTGAGTAATTAAGACAAAATGGTCACATGAATCATTCTTTTGCGCTGACAGGCCCTGCGTGACCCTCTCTCTCCCTCACCACTGTTCAGCTAAAGAGCAAAGAGTGTAAAAATATTTTCTATTCCTGTTTGCATGTGGGTTGGTTTCCTTTTCTAGATTTGTCTTCACCCAGATTTGCTTTTCTAGGCAAAGGTGAATGTTTATTTGCCTTTGGGTAATGTCATCTGTTGTCCAAAATAGCCTTGGTGACATTCTTCCTTACCCTGCGGACATGTGAGGGGTCACGGTTTGAAAGAGGGCATGATGAGTCAGTCACGAGAGTTTCTGTCTGTCACGTATCTCTTGTCACCAAAAAGTCCTTCTATGATGTCCAAGGATAAAAATGCAAAGAAAACCAGGGGCCAGGGCCAGGGCCCAGCTCCTGCAAGCCAGCCCTGTCCCTTCTCAGGCTTAATAAATACAGTCAACCTGCCTGAGCGCTTTTATTGCAAAGGAAGGTATTTAATGTCACTTGTACAGGAAATTGACTTAGCACTTTCCCTGTTTTTCTATTGCATAATTTTTTTAACCCAAGAATATTTTTGCTGAACCTGCCCAATATCCACTTTTCTCAACTTTGGTTACTAGCCACAAGAAATATTTCCCTGCCTTCTCCAAATCACACATACCCCAGAATTTGCTGGCAAAAGGAACCCTGGCACAGTATGTAATGGTGACCTCATCCTCCCTGACCCGTGTAAGCATCTCTGTATCCTTTCAGTTTTAATATCTGCTCTGCCAAAAGCAGCCCTCAAACATGCAAAAGGTCTGACAAGGTTCTCTCCACTCCATTCCAGTATGTAAAGAGAACATGAATATTTCAGTAAGAGCAAGAACATGACTGTCGGTGTGAAATTTCCAATGTGGTTATAAATCTGGGGGAGTCCTATAGGAGGATCCACTAGAAATAAACTTTGTGGAAAATGTTCACTATCCTCCTTTCAAAGAATGAGGGATTGCAGAGAGTTACAAAAGGACCACTTGGGTTTTTTACCAACAAATGTTAGTAAAGCCTTTCCTGAATTCACTGTATGCCAACCTCCAACATGCTCTGTGATTTTTCTTTCTGTCTGAGGTAACCGGGAATTGCGTTCAAAATGAGTTCATTTGTGATCGAGCTTAAAAGTTGCCCAAGCTGAGGTTATTTTCCCCCTAGTCATAAAGCAAAATGTGTTTTTCTTAAGACTTCATAGGCACTTATGGGGTCCCTACTATCTTTTGAATATAATTGGACGCTTTGAATCCTCGAAAAGCAAACCTGTTCTCCTCATAAAACATGCTAACCGCCTGTGCTCATGGATCAAGATCATCCGAAGGCAGCACTTGATATTTTTCCCCAACTCGGAAGAGAGCTATTATTTGGAGAGGAAATGCAGACTTCACAACCCACCAGAGGAATCATATTTATCAAAACGGGCCAGGGCCTGCATGTGTTCGGATAAATCATTTAGTATTGTGTAAATAAAGCTGCAGCCTCCATGTCAGGGATGGGATGGGATTTTGGCTTAGCAAAGTAGGACAGCAAAGGAGCAGGAAGCTGTGCTGCTGTTCCTCTCAGCTCAAGGGACCCATCTCAGCGAGGATCTCTCATCCTGACATCCCAATTCTGGACATTCCCAACTCATGGAAGAAACCGTTGAGAGCAAGGAAACACAAGCCCTTCTCATTCTGGAACAGGGATCGTTGGCAAGTGCACGGACCCTTTGGTGACTCCACTTGACCTTAGTGAGGGGCGTGACCTGTCTGAGCTGCGCCTCGGCCCCCACCCTTCACACTCGGTGCACCCTGGCCACAGCCACCTAGCGAGCAAGATTGAGCTGATGACCTCCACTCGCTGGCTCCTAGGTATTTCCCTGAATCCCTGTGTTCCTGTTGAAGCAGATGAGAAAGAAGGAGCTCATTCCCTGCTCACATCTCAATGTTTTTTCCCTACCATGTCCTATGTCTGTGATTTTGCCCCAGATCAATCTTGGGATTGGTATAAACAGAGAACCCTCGACCTATCATCTCCACCAAACCCCCTCCAGAGCAACCACCTAGACCAGGCCAGGGAGCGCTTGGTAAGGAAGCTGGTGAAGGTCCCTTGTGCCCGCTCTTGGCCCTCTTGGATGCTGCAAGAGACACTCAAAGGGCCCCAAGGGAGGCCAGGTGCATGCCCTCCCTCCTGCTGCACTGGGGAAGGAAGACAGTCCACACGTTTGAAGCAGGTCCTGGGTCTATGGAAGGTTCTAGGCACCTAATATGTAGACTGCGATTGTTGAATATTCCCAAAGTTGGCAGCCTTTGTTAAAAATGATGCTTGACGGGAGGGTGGAGGGGAGATGAAGATGAAGGCGTGGAGGAGGAAGAAGAGAAGGAAGCCCTGGCCATATAAAATTCATGCAGACTAAACAGTTTCCCTGGCAGAATAAATAAAGCGGATGCTACCCTGCTCCAGAATCAAAAGCAATTTAATTAAAGTCTCTTAAGTTGTAAAGAGTTTTAAATGTTCCGTGTTGAAGGCGAAAGCCTGCAAATGCAGCCGGCTGACGTCAGCGGCCGGGCCTGGGCTGGGAGGCCATTTGCTATTCTGTTTCAGGCAGGCTGGATTGTCTTATTTTGGAACCAGCTTGGTGGGGGGTTTGCTTTGCTACTGCTTCTGAGCCCTGAGCTTCAAAGGCTGAAATTAATGGTGAACAAAATTGTGCGGCTCTGGCCGTCCCATGCGGGGCAGGCCCATTGAGGGTTATCATTAAGTAAAGAAATAAAGAGGGGGAAAAAGGCTGCCTGTTCCAAAAACCTCATCAGATAATGACCTCGGTGATTGGGTTTTCATTACCAAACAGCAACCAGAGATTACCAACCCGTGGAAGAAGGGAGGGGGGGAAGAAAGAAAGGAAAAGCCACTGTCTTTCTCTCCCTCTCTCTCTCCTTTTTTTTTTTCCCCTGCACATCTTTTCTTTAAAACTGTCAGATCATTTCAGTATTTCAAATCCGAGGAAAACAGCCTGCCTGCTGCTGTATTTGAAGTTGTAATGGTGTCAAAAAGTCACGACTGACTGACAGCCGTCAGTCCCAGAGGGGCTCATTAAATCATAAAAACTTGACAAGGAAATAATTGCGCATCGCCAGCAACTTGGCGCCTGTTTAGACGTTTTTATTTTCTTTCATTATTAGTCCCCACATTACGTTCATTAACAAATTGCATTAAACAACTGTTAAGGGCTAATGATTTGTTTATCGCTTTTTTTATTATTATTATTTAAACATCAGCTGTGTCATGTGGTACCTCAGCAGCCTCTTGCCATCATCTGACTGAATATTTTTCCACTCCGAGCTCTGGGTACTGTTGGAATATGAAATAGATTATTCATTACTCTCCTCTTTGCCACTGATTTGGTTTCATGTAGCGTCTTCCACAGAGAAAGATGAAAACTTGTCAAAAATAGGTTATATCTTATTCGAAGGGGCAACAATAGCGGCAGGTCCAGGCACACTTTAATATTTAATTAAGGTTGATGTTAACCCCCTTTAAATGACTTTAGCTGTAAGTTATATTTAAATGCAGAAGAGAAAAATAATTGTTCTTAATTTGCAACCTGGTCAGCAGGCATTCTTCATGGAGTTAGCTGGAAATTTAGAGCAGAATTTTTAAATAATGAAATTTCCCATCATAAATATTTATGGCGGTTTGTCTACGTAGTTGAGAATTAACTACAAGCGATGATTTCCTTGTCTCTTTGGTGTGCACTGCTAGCCTAGTGGGCCACTCTGTGCTTGGGAGCAGCGTGGCTTTCTTGGGAGAAACGTGTGCTTGGAGGGGAAGTCCAGCACCAAGGACGGCCGGCTGGTTGTGGCCAGCGCCAGTTTCAAAAGAACTGCTGTGAGTCCGTGGGCCACTTGCCTTCCCCTTTAGCTGAGTGTGTGGTTGGAGGACTGTGGCCTGCAGTGAGACCGAGTAGAGCGGTCTTACAGGAGGACTTGTGTGTGTTCCGTGGCCCGCGCAGCGAGGCCGTGGTGGGGAGTCCTGGCGCCTCTGTCTAGTCAACCCGAGCTCATTACAAACACTGCTTCCCTAACAGGCATGGCAGCAGCACTTTGCAGGGATTGACCTTCCACCCTTTTTCCTTTCTGTGACTCACCCTTGCTGAACTGATTGGCTCTTCTATGGGCTGTGAGCTTGAGGGCCCAGAAGGGACAAAGCTCCATCACGGTCTCCGAATCAGAAGGCAGGGGCAATTCTTCGTGCCATAACTGCTAGCTTCGATGAGTTGACATCAAGCACAGAGCCAGTCGCAGAGGCCTGGTCCATGGGCACTTCAGGGTAGACTGCTCTGATCTGGTCCAGGGAACGCCTTTTCCCCATCCTATTTATTTCTGATCACACTCTCCATCCCCAGAACCCTTAGGTGACCACGTGAGGGGTGCGTGTTCCTGCTCAGTGCAGCGTCAACACCACTCACCTGAGGACAGAGAGTCCTGCAGGAGCCCTAGGCCAGCCCAGCAGGCAGCAGCCAGGCGAGGCCTAGTTCTAAGTCCCACTGATCTCTACAGAGACAGAAATGGTGGACTTGCACCTGGAAGTTCCATCTTAGTCCAGACCCATTAACGGCATGATGACCCACCTCCCTCAGGATGACCTCCACACTTTAGCAGAAGACAGGAAGGCTCTGTGGTGAGCAGGCCCAGTGACATAGACAGGGAAGTGCTGCGGGAAGACACAGAGGGCTGAGAGGCTGCCAGCCTCTCAGGTCAGTGGCAACGGGAACTTTGCAGAGCCAGTTTACCAGGACAGGTAGGGCAAAACCAAGACGGCAGGGCAAATGGGGTGAGACCAGATGGTGTACAGGTGAAGACAAGGGACTCCTCACCACCAGGGGGTAGGAGGTGGCTGTAGGCTTATCCCAGTGAAGAGCCCAGAGGGAGGGGCCCAGGCAGGTAGGCCTCACCTTGTAGCTCCCTGAGCCCATCAGTGCCTTCCTGAGAAGAAGCCAGAGAAGGGGAATGACAGGGTCCCCACCCAGGTCACACACCACCCCTGTCTGCAGCTCCAGGAGCTCCTGGAGAGCTGTGGGGAAAGCACTTCCTCTTCCTGAATCGCCTCTTACTCCTGCTACATAAATAACGAAGGCAGCCCAGCGAGAGGGGGAGATGCGGGAAGCAGAGCTCTGGACTCTGATTCCGTGAACCCATGCCCCCTCCCTCCCTCCATCCAAACAAGGCCCTTTGGCGTGAATAACAGCTCAGCGGCGGCTCCGCAACCATATTGATCGGCTGGTGCCTGGGCTTTTCCTGGGGCCAGGACTGCTGGAGCCAGCCGCCCCGCCCCTCCTCGCCCCCTGCAGGTGTGCTCAGGAGGGGACAGCACCGGGAAGGTGGGGGTGGGGGAGCCAGGCCCTGCTCTGGCTCAGCACGGCTTCATTGCCGCAACTTTTTTGTTTTTAACTTATTTTGGCAGGAAAGGTACCCAAGTTAGAAATGTGTTTTCATGACGAGGCCCCACGGAGTTGAGAATGAACACAACCTCCGGCTGCAGCTTCTCTCCAGAAGATTCTGCCAAGGACCCAGGCCACAGAGGCATGGTCAGCTGACACTTCCAGGGGCCCTTCTGGGCACTCAGCTTTGGACTAAGCCCTTGGGCCTATCGTGCTGCAATTCCCAGTCAGTTTCCCTGCCTTCTGCAATCAGGAGGGAGAGGGCCAAGCATGTGGCGCAGCCATCACCTGGGGGGCTGGGGACTGTTGCTGAATTCAGTGGAGAAGTGCCTGCCATGGCCGATGACCAGCAGAGACCGCATCCTGCCACCCCATTCCCTAACTAATACTGACCCAACCGTCCCCAGCCCTCTCTGCATCTCTTCTGGACACAGGAAGTCACCAAGGCCTTAGCCCCTTAAGGGACACAGTCGTGAGGTCATCAGGCCCCAGCACAGTGACACCTGAAATCTCACCCCTAAAGATCCATTCCTCTGGTTTCCAGTTTTTTTGTTTTGTTTTGTTTTGTTTTTGTTTTTGGTACAGGGGATTGAACTCAGGGGCACTCGACCACTGAGCCACATCCCCAGACCTATTTTGTATTTTTTTAAAGACAGGGTCTCACGGAGTTGCTTAGCACCTCGCCATTGCTGAGGCCGACTTTGAACTCACAATTCTCCCATCTCAGCCCCACAAACTGCTGGGATTACAGGCGTGCGCCACTGCGCCCAGCTTGGTTTCTGGCTTTTCATGCTAGAGAAATGCAGGTTCATTTTTCCCTGGGCGGCTCCCATCCCACCAGCTGCAGATTTCTTTGGGTGAAACGCCTGACCCTTCCTTGGGAGCTGATTATGAGTTTGGGGAAGGGGGGACCCACCACCTGAGGGGGCACTTGGTGGTTTCTGGGAGAAGCATCCTTGCTCCCTGGGACGAGCTCCCTGGAGGTTTCTGGGTCTCAGCGGCCTTAGGTAATGGAGGGTCCACGTACCCCTGATCAGGCCCAGTTATTAAGGACTGTGCTGTGCCCAGGGCTGCATTTGGACAATCACAGGGTCAGAAAATGGGCTCTGCCAAGCAGCAGAGGTCCCCTGGGCAGGTCCCACCACAGTGTCCTTGTGGGGCAGGGTTGGGAGCAGGCAGGGAGGTCAGAGTGGAGATAGGCAGGTAACCCTGGGCCCTGCACATCATTCCCACTGAGCTGTTCCAGCCTTGTCTTGCCCCAGCCCTGCTGAGAGTGAGAAGCCCAAGGTCACTGTGCTACACAAATTGGCATTTGGGAAAGGCCCCAGACGGATTTTTTTATGCCCTGAACAGACCGTCCCACACTGTTCCCCCAAGTGTCTTGGTACAGGGGACATCCTGGTGAACAGAGCCTCTCTCTGCTCTCTGCATCTCCTCTCATTCACCCCACCCCTCCTGGCTCCCACTTCCTCTGCATTTCTAAAAGGGGAAGGCATTAGAGTGAGGAGAACCAGGTGGCTTCGGTGAGCTCACCACAGTCCCTGATAAGACTTCAAAATCATCAGACCTTTCCCCTTTGTGGAGGAGAGGTGTATTCAGATTTATTCATCCAGTCAATAAATATTTACTGAGCATCTACTATGTTCCAGGCCCCAAGGACACACAAAGAAGAAATTAAACAGGAAGTCAGAGGCTCGCTGCACTGGGGTGCGGAAGTCAGAAAGCCTTTTCACTCCCGGTGTCCTGACTTGCTTTCTGATCTTGGACAGGTCACTCTCGGTCTCAAAATCAGGTTGAGAGACCCTGCTTCTGCTGCCCTCCACGGCTGCCCCTGAGGTCAATACAAAGCCCTTTCCAGACACGTGCTCAGTGTCCCTTCGTCTTTGCAATCCCCAGGACTGCCTTTGCAAAAGAGGATATGAATAGGGATGATAGTGACGGTGGCCGCGAGTACATAGGTTCTCATCAGCACTGGCCCACACTCAGGACTGGCCCACGAGATGCCGAGGAACAGGGCTTTTTTTTTCTTCTTCTCCTTCTTGTTAAATGATAAAGGTCTGACTTGGCGGGCAATCAGAAGCCCAAAATATCATAAAAGGGAAAAAAGTTGCCGAGTGGCTAAGAGGTGCACCACGGGAGTGTCGCGCGGGGCGCAGCCGGCAAGGTGGATGCTGAGCAGCGAGCAGGGAGCGGGGAGGAAATGCAGCCAGAGACATTTTCAAAGGCTTTTCTCTCCTTCTTCTCCTCCCTGGTCCCCATACCAAAAGGGGAAATTGAAGGCAAATCCAGATCTGGACATGGGGCTGGTTTGTCCCACACACACCCTCCCCCGAGACGGTAGAGAAACTTTGATGTCTGAGCAGGTGGCATGGGAGCAGGGAGGAGCTGGGCATCCCGGCCATGCAGCTGGGCCTATGTGAACCCCAGTGTGAGAGATGGGGCCCACGGGGCTGCCTGCAGCAGGGTTGTGAAATGGGGAAATGATCCCCGTCTCTCCAGCCACCCTGACAACAGTTCTCACGTGGGAGGAGAGCAAATTCACAGAACCCTGCGCAGGTAGGCACCAGGGGTCATGTTGGTCAACTTACTTGTTTTCAGATAGAAAAATGGGGCTCAGGGAGGGAACGAGGCTTGCCAAAGACCTCTCAGCAAATCGGTGACTCAGCCACCAGTGGACTCTGGGCCTTCAGCTCCAGGAAGCTTCTTCCCTCCCGCGCCCATCCTCCCAGCAACCCCAGGTCAGGGCACCCAGCCTTCTCAGGCTGACACCGGCCACAGGGCTGGTGGCCTGGGTAGTGCTGGCTTCTGCACCCCTGGTGCTGAAGTTCCCAACAGCCATGGGGAAGCTCAGCTCCATCCCTGTCCTGTCCACTGTGGCTCCTTTCCCCCCCAAATGTCAAGTCCTTGAGGGAGCAAGGGATGCCCTGGGTCTCTCCTAGGTGAGCTCCCAGGATCATCCTGGGAAAGCGTTTCTACTGCACTTTCTTGTGATATCTTCTCAGCCACCATCGCTAGCTCTCTACTCCCCCAGGAGACACTGTGGGAAATGATTCAGTAATAAACACCCCCCACCCCGACACTGCGCCCCTGGGCACTCCCAGAGACTCCGAGCCACCGATGCTAAGGGGGGCCCTGAGAAGACTCCCAGCTCCCCGGCATCCATGGTAGAAGAAACAGGGGAGGTTCCTGACCCAGTGGGGAGGAAGGACCCCCACAGCAGCCTCTGGAGTGCAGACCCCTCCAGAAGATGAGGACACTTGACATGCTGGGCTTCTTCGTGGTCTTGGATGTCGGACTGGTGTCACAGCTGTGTGATCAGTGCAGTCACATGACCCCGGCTCAGAGGGGCCCCTTCTGAGCTTGGGGGTTAATGTTCTGCAGTCCCATCCAAAAATTCCTCACAATTTTGTCTTTGTAATCTCACTTCTGGGGTCCAGGTCTCAGTGTCTCATCTTTCTGCTCCCTGAAGCCCCAGTTCTGCTCAGCCTCTGTCTTCCTGCGCCTGCCCAGCAACTGTTTCCAACAGGCACAGAGAGGGTGAAAGATCAAGTCAGGCATGCACAGCCCTGGGATCTTGGGGTGAGGCACTGTGGCCGCTGTCACCACCCTAGCTGTCACTGTCGTGGCACATTCAACAGGATGACCAGATGGAAGTGAGCCAGCGTGTCCTCAGAGCCCCTGTGGGTTGCCCATCTGAGGTGGGTTGGGCAGGGGTCTTGTGAAAGGGGCAGATGCCAGGTTCAACCTCCTGCCCTAGGTGTGGAGGGCTCAAATGCTATGCATGCCCAAATTAGCTCAGCACCTGTGAGGGCCTGCAGTCCCCCCGGAAGGCTCTTCATGGACCCCATTCGCCAGCTCCATGCCTGAGAGGACCCACCTTCCTGGGTGTAGCATGTCTCTGCTGGCCAGCCCCTGGCACCCTCCGGAGATGAGCCATGAAATACAGCGTGCAACTCCAGCGGGTGTTAAATATTCCAAGATTTCCACTTAAAACTGGCATCGCACAATATAAAGATGAGCGGTAAAAGTCATCCTAATAACTTAAAATTTTAACTTAGAGCTTCAACAAGCAAATTAAAAACACCACGACGAGTCTAAAGAGCCCAGGGAAAAGCAGGAAGGCGCTGGGGTTCTTGCTGTTTTACAGGAGGCCCCACATTTTCATTTTGCAGCGTGTCCCACAAATTACGTAGCCAGACCTTCCTGGATGAGTCACTTTTCCTCTTGGACATACATTTCCCTATCAGTAAGCCTGACCCTTAGTTATCCTTGTCCCTTCCTTGCTCCTGGGCACATTAGGAACATGCTCATGGAAAGACCCGTGGAAGAGATCGGGAAGTAGTCTATGGGCCAGTCCTCGGCCTTGGAGTCACCGGGCTTCTCTCCGTGTTCCTTTTTTGTGCGGGTATTAGTGCATTATAGTTAGACACAATAGTTGGGTTAAGGCCCTTTTTCTTAAAAGGAGATCTGGACTGGAATCCAGAGAAAGTTCAGCCTGCTCACGAAGATCTAACCACCGTTGATAAGTCCGTCTCTACCGGAGGTGTTCCCCCTGGAAAATATGTTCTAAAACTGAGGCCCCCATCTAAAAGTCTCTTCAGGTACAGAATAGAGGTAGGAAGCACTCAGAGATTCAATTTAACTCAGAAATCCAAGTGAGTTGTGAAATCAAGTCTTCATCTGGTCCAAGAACTGAGGCCTTACAATTCGCACGCCCCATCCTTGATCTCCACACCCATCCATTCAATTTCCAGATGATGTCAGGATGTTGGAGCTCGATCCAAGGTCGCCAACATGAAAGAGGCTGGGTGCCGGCCAGGTGTGTGTTGGCAGGTGTCATCCGCTTGGGAGTGGTGCAAGTTTTGATTCCACTTCCACTTCCCAGAAGAACGTGTCCCCAATGTGGAGCTGTTTTCTAAGCTATCGTTCGTTAGGGTTTCAAGTGCAGCTTTCAGTCCGCTTCATGTGACACTCTGGGATGCAACTGCCCAAGGGTTAAATGGGTCTGAAGTCGTATCATGTCATTCTGCAAAAAGTTCTGCTGCTTTATGGAATGAGTGAATGAGTCCGTGTAGACCAGGTTGCCTCCAGTGGAGCCCAAATATGGCATTACGTACTCAGCAGTGTCATTATGGGATCAGGAAAAATTCAGTGATCCCTATTTGGTTTCTCTGGCTCTTTCCCAATATCAGATGGTCAGTCTCTCTCTTTTTCCCTCCCTCCCTCTCTCTCTATCTCTCCCTCCCCCCTCCTTCTCCCTCCTTCTCTCTGTCTCGTTAATGTGTTAGGGTTTTTATCTTATTTCCCATATTACATTTTGCGTAATATCTCCTAACTCCAGCTCAGCTTCCTAAAGATAATTCATTAGGCTTGAGAGCTGCTCCAGCGTGGGATTAGAACTCGTGTAGGACACAGTCACGTTAAACTGAGATCCGCTAATTAATCGCTCTTCTCTGTGTAACTGGTGATAGCGCTTCTTCCCCGGGGAATTGCAATTTCATGGTTCCTAATGATGCTGCGATTACATTATCTGGACCGCTTAGGCCGGGGGTGTCAGGAGCCGTGCCCAGAGCCTGTCTCAGGGATGGGAGAAATCACTCCGCAAACCCAGGGGGTGGAAGGAGGGAGCTGGAATTTCTGTTGCTGGTTTTCATTAATGTGCGGCTCTTGCTCACATCTCGCTCAGACATTAGCCTCGAGTTCCATTGTCTCTCAGCTCCACAATGCCTTTTGCCCCAGAACCCTCACATTTTTTCTAGTATTCCCAGGGTGATTGTTTGTAAAAATCTATTTATTTGCTATATTCCACAAAGTAATTTATTTCAGCATTTATTTTCATTAGATTTCTTGGAAATGTGGTTCTACATGTTGTTAGTACAAGTAATACATTTTGATGGTTGTTTCCTGAACTACCTTGTATTATTGGATCAGTTAAATAAAATGCCTAACTCCAAAGTCTGCTGAGCCCATCTTTTGCATTTGAATTATTTATCTTACTTCCATTCCCTTTCTAATCCAAGGGGAGTTATAAATCTTCAGTTCAGTCTTCTGCCACAGTTTCTCTAGTGTGAAGGTAGACACTGTCACTTCTTTAAACAACAAAACTCTGAAGGATCATGTTCAAGGTTTTGTTTTGTTCTTTTTATGAGACAAGGTCTCATGATGTTGCCCTGGCAGCCCTCAATATCCGGCACTCAAGCGATCCTCCTGCCTCAGTTTCCCACACCAGCCAAGACTGGTTTTGAACACAGGTTTTGTTTGTTTTCTGTTAACTGTCCAGAGAGAAGGCAGACTGGCTTTGAGCTCCGAGTCTCTCTCTGGTGAGGTTGGATCATCTACCTACCAGTCTCCTCCCTGAAGCTCAGTTTCCTTGGCTGCAGAGAAAATATCACTCAACCCAAAGACCATGAGGTTCCATGAGGAATCCCGGGGAGAGCCCCACCGAGCACGTGCTAACCTATCCCCATCACATGCATTGTGACTGAGTCTGTTGATCACAACATGGCAGCACACATTGTCAGAGGGAGGTATTGATGTTTAGGAAGGTTTTGATGGAAGTTCTGAAAAGATTTCTCATGATTATGGGCTTCAAATATCTCAAGGATGTACACATAGGAACAAAATTCTCATTTATTTAAAATATAAATTCTAAGAATTTTTTTCATATTTATTGTTTAGTTGTAGTTGGACACAATACCTTTACTTTATTTATTTATTTTTAGGTGGTGCTGAGGATCGAACCCAGGGCCTCACATGCCTAGGCGAAGTGCTCTGCCACTGAGCCACAACCTCACCCCTCTAAGAATGCTTTTAAACTATTTTTTACACTAAATGTAACAAGTGGCATCAGGGATCAGGAAAGCAGTGGGGAACCACAGGAGAGAATCCCTGCCCTTCCCGATGCTGAAGGCTGCAGAGAAAGGCCCAGCAGTCACCTGGCACTTAACGGCCCCAGGAGCTCAGAGTCCTGGGGAGGAGGGTGGAGGGGAGTTGCTCTGGGTGTCTGGACTGGCGTTGGCCTTCTCCATGCCAAACCTTTGGCACCTGAAGGACATTCCAGGACCACTTGAAACATTTAAAACAATCTGTTGGTTGAGAAAATGGAGACTATGAGAAATGACAAATACTATGATATAATGTTTTCCAAGTGAACTTATATTAGCATCCACCAAAATTTGGAAAACGAGACATGTGAGAGTATCTACTGGGTCTGCTCACAGCACTCGACTTGGTATGGAACCTGACCCCAGCATAGCTGAGTGGCCTCAGCGTCATCCACTACCCTAGTGATGATGGGTGCAGTGGCCTCAGGCTCTAGACAGGGAGTCGTATGAGAAAGCCCACCAGTGAATAAAAATGGCGTCTTGTGTCCCCAGCCCACTGCCAAGTGAAAGGAAAGCACAGAAGGAGCGACTTTCCTGTGCTCCCCAGGAACGGGGGCGGGGGGGGGGGTCCTAGCCCTCTCTGATCCATCCCCACCACTCACCTGGTCCAAGCTGCCATCTCCCACACCTGGGCCACACTCAGCAGGTTGTCCAAGCTCACAATAGCAAGGGTGACAAACTGAAAATAAAAGTCAGATCATAGAAACTTCTGGTTCAAAATCCTTTGACTTGGCTTAACCCTTCTAATTGGATTTCCTTCTACAACCTCCCAGCACCCCACCGTAGCCTGACACACCTGTCCCAGTCTCCAGACCCAGACCCCTCACCTCCTTTCCTTCCCCAACATTCCAAGCTCTTTTCCACCCCAGAATCTCTACCTGGAAGATTCACACCCTTTTCCTCTCCCTGGCTGACTCTTGCCGGTCCTTCCCGTCTCGGGTTGAATGACACCATCAGGAAAGCCTCACTGAAGCCCTCCCCCAACCTCAGGAAGACCCACCTGATTCTTTGTCAGCCTTGGATTTTTCTTATCACAGCACATAGTAAAGCGTGTCACCAGGTATTCATTTTTTGCTCTGTGTAGTTGAGATTGAACCCAGGAGTACTCTACTTCTGAACTACATCCACAGCCTTTTGAATTTTATTCTGAAACAGGGTCTCCCTAAATTGCAGTCTGACCTTAAACTTGCAATCCTCCTGCCTCAGCCTCCCAAGTAGCTGGGATACAAGCCAGTGCCACCATGCCCAGCTCATATGCACTTTTTAATATGGACACTTTTCATAAATAGGTGAACAAACGAGTAAATAAATGTGCGACTACTTCTGTCTTTCCAGTCAACTTGCTCAGCCAAAATTTCACCACCAGGAGGTTCTGCATTGATTATTATTTATTCCCACCCAAGGAGGGAGGCACATGGGCTGCCCCATCCTCCTGGGCAAGAGGAAGGGTGGTGAAGAGGTGCTGAGCCATGGGCACACCTGCACGGTGGCCCTGGCACTTGGTGCATCTCACCTGTTTGTGGCCAGACTGCCACCTTGGATGACATGGTTCTCTCCAGGAGTCTCTTTTTACCCATCTTATTTGGCCACCAAGACCTTCCCCCTTTTAAGAGGGAGCAGAACAACTTCCCAGGGCTCACCTCGTTTGAATGCACAGCACAATGAATTTGTACCCACCGAGCTCCAGCGCTGATATTTCAAAACCTACACTACACTAAACGTGAAACTTTTGTTCAAATTTCAAGGATTTTGATAGCCCAAGTGAATAGACACTGCCTATTGATTTTTCCCTTACAATGACTCTTGGATAACCTATTTTCTCATTTATTTTTAAAGACAGCTCATGAGATTTCATAGCAATTCTGCCCAACCTCCTAATATCAAAATCCCTCCTTGACCCTGAAAATTGTAATTCTGCTATAGATCACAGCTGCTGAATATTACCTTTTACTAAGCTGGTTAAATAAAATATGTCCAAATCACTAGATCCCACAAGCCGTGGCCTGCAAGTCTAATGATCCAGGGGCTGAGGTTCCTGCCGCTGCCCGCTCACCGGCCCAGCGCTCTCGCTGGCCAACACCAAAGTGTGGGAATCGAGAATATCGGCTCAGGTTTGGAATTTAAGGAGGAGGAGAGGAAAAGGATAGCTCGGCTGGTCTTCAATGATTTTCTTGTAAAACTTTTACAAGGGGAGACTTAGGCCGTTTGATGTGTTCTAGACAATCAAATGCCCGCCGAGTCTGCGGCCGAGTGGCTGGGGTTTTCTCCCTAGTGGAGGAGGGGGCGTGTTTGATGTAGGGCAAGTTCAAAACCCCAAAGCCTTGCCCGCTGGTAGGTCAGATTACAGTCACAGACCTGGAAAGGCCCTCCACCGGGGGAAGCGGAATTCTGCCACCAGCCGCCAGGGCCTCTTGGTTCGCCGCCTCTGGTCTGGGTCTGGCTGGAGAGGACCTGGATGGAATTTAGAAGTAGAGGCACCTACGCTGCCTGGGCCCAGGTGACCCCTGCACTCGGGCCATCCTGTGCTCCATCTGGTTCACCAAAAGCCTGGCTGCCATCTGCCCGCCTGCTGAGCAGCCCAGGGGTTCAGCCAGACCCCTCTCGCCTTCTCTCGTTCTCAGAATGAAGGACAACACTAACCCGAAATTCCAGGGGAACTTTTAATATTTTTAAAGCCAAAGCTTAGGTCAGAAGTCATGACCTCTGACTTTTAGGTGGTCCTCTTCGCTATCCTGGGTGGGTAGTGTCCCAAGCCCTCGCTCGTTACAGTGAGTAGTCTGAAACAGCACGACTCAGTGGAAACGTGGGTCCCCACGCAGTGGTCACTGGAGCCCATTCTCAACCCAAGAGACCCAAGGCTCTTCTGTGGGCCTGTGGAACTCTGCAGCTCTGCTGTCCCCCTCCCAGGCCCACAGTGACACGGCTGGGCCCACTGCCTCCCACACAGGACGGATAGCGGGGCGTGGGCAGGTGACGGGTCCCTGCAACACATGCAGAAATCTGCTGACATGGGCACCAGATGAGCCTGCGTAAGCTTGAAAAGCTCATGAAAAACAAAGTAAGGAAGACCAGAGCCTCCTCCACCCCCAAGTGACATCTGTCAGGGGGTCAAAGAGTGGCATGTCCTTAGGCAGCAGGAGACCACTTCCTTCCCTGCTCCTGACAGACTGGCTCACTGGGCCCGGCTCCCTTCAGCCCTCAGAATCCCCTCACCCAGCATTCCCTGTGGCCTCTCCTCCTCAGGCAGAGCCGACTTGGGGGACTGGGGGTGACACCCACTCTCCACCCAGCCTCCCCATCCCCGCGGCCCACTTCCACTCTCAGGAGCTGCTTCTGCTCCCCGAGAGCCACCCACGTCCCAGATCCCCAGGGCATCTGCTAGACCTCTATTGTCCTCTCGGTCTCACCAGCCACTTCAGAGTCGGGTAGAGGAGTGAGTGGGAGGCCCCAGAATGGCCCTCTACGTTCTGGCCCCAGCTCTGCTTCTGAGCCCGCAGGATGCGCTGGACACGGTGCCTTCCTTCACGTGGATGAATGACACAGACTCAAGGGGAGTCTCGACCCCTTCAGGTGGGGTTCCTTTGCAATCATTGCTCCCTGAACCGTTGAGCCGTATGTGTCCCCCAAGGGCAGGAATCCCGCCTGAGGCGGCCTTCCGTCTCTCCTGGGGGCAAGTGCTGGAGCAGAGGACTTGGAACCTGTGTTGCCTTGTTCAGTCGCTGTGATGCTGATCTTCGTCTCCCAAGGAATCACAGTGACTCCAAGGGAAGCACTGTCCCAGAGGGCCAACTCCACCTCCGCCCCCTCCAAGGGGCTTTGACTCACTGGACAACTTAGGCCCCTGAGCCATGAGCAGTGGGAGCCGAGGTCCTGCACTCAAGCTGAGGCTGAGACCCAGGAGCCTGCCAGAGTCTCCTCAACAGCCAATGGAGCCTCAGCAGACGGAGAGCCCCGCAGCCGAGCTCCCGCCCCCGTTAGCCTTGCTCATGTTCCCCAGTCTGGGCTGCAGTGAGACAGAATCCCCCTGGTGCTCTTTGCTGGGAACCTGGGCCGTAGGAAGCTCTTGCTAAA